GGATGTTTAAATCAGAACTGAGCAGGAAAAGTTACACCTCCTGGTAGGTGGGAACGCAATAGTGGCGGGGGAGAGGAGATTGTAGAAAGAGAAAATACAAGCACAGAACACAGCATTTGGAGATGCCACTTCCTCAGAACTTTGCTCCTGCCAGCAGCACATCTACATTTGCTCAACCCCTTCTTTGAATGAAAGGTGGGTGCCCCAGGAAGTCTATGTGTCATCTGAGTAAGTTTCATCATGCAGGATATTTGCAATGAGTTTTATTCATGCAGACATAAATACATCAAGGGGTAAAGAAGGCATCCTTTCCACTTCCAGAACATCACAAGCAGCCCCCTCACAACTCCACAAAGAATGTAGTGCAGGCCTCAGCAGCCATACATGATCTAGACCAAGAAACCATGGACGTCAAGAACCACCCAAAGGAGATCCAGGTCACATATACACTGCTTGAGGCCTCCCTCTTTAAATCCTACAACTGACAGTGAGTCAACTAGAAATAGAAAATCCTTAAGCATAGAACAAGCACAGATGGATCCTTACTTACAACTGTTTGACCCATGACCTATGACTTTCTGACTTTACAATGGTGTGACCACAATACACGTTGCATAGAAACCGTACTTTGAGTGTCTATACAACCAACCTGTTTTTCATGTTCCATACAGTATTCAATAAGCTACATGAGATATGTGATGCTTTAACACAAAATAGCCTTTTTGTTACATAATTTTTCCCTCATTATAAGCTAATGTGCATGTTCTGGGTACATTTAAGGTAGGTAAGGCTGAGCTATGATGTCAGTAGGTTAGGTGTATTAAATGCATTTTCCACTTACGGTATTTTTAACTTATGAGGGGTTTATGAGAATGTAACCCCATTGTAAGTTAAGAAGCATCTCTACCAACTTTATCTCAATTATGATATCAATCACAGAATCAGACTGTTGGATCGCACAGTGTAACTCTTGAAGCCATAGGGAAAGGAGCAGGAAAACCAATGCCTTCTTCCTTTTGGGTTTCTGTGACGTCACGATGGGCAGTGCAAGAAACCACTTCCATGCCACAAGTGTCCTCCACCTGACCAGCCGACTTGGATATAACATTAAGTGATAGGGACTCAGAGGCCAGAGAAAATATAGAAATGCATTTTGGGGCTTCCCAAATATAGTTCAAGATGAGTCCCTCGGGGCTTCATTTTCCTTCTCCCTCAGTCTGTGCCTGGCCCTCAGCCCAACGCCAGGTACCCTGAATGGGTTCTTGGATGGTCTATATCTGGTTCTTCCTGCTGGTTTCGCAGCTGCTCATCTCCCAATTCAGAAACCCTTTGGGTGCTACATCTTATCACTTGAATGAAGCCAGGTGGTCTCTACCTCCCTAGGTTGATACTGATATCCCCTCAGTCACTGGGATGGAGACTGACACAGTCAGTTTACCATACCACTTCCTCAGTTAGAGAGCTACCTTTTAAAAAATGACTTTGCCAAGGTGATTACTGAACCAAAAGCAGTATCATTTTTGTTAAAGTCTATGCTTATGCTTAAGGTATTTATCAAATCTTTAAAATGCTCATCTGTGCATGCAGTTATCACAATGTGAACAAAGATACATGAGTGAACAGCTCTTCCCAAAGCAAGATCTCTGCCAACCACCAACTGCTGAATCCACAGCACCTTGCAATGCCTATTCCATAGCATCCAACTCTTTTCAGGGACAGTGAGGCAAGGAACACTTTAAAACTCACCACCCTCCTAGTCAACACAGTTGCTGATGGAAGCACAAATGTCCCCAAACTCTCTGCGTGTTCTACTAGTCCTGTGACCAGAAAAAGCCTCTTGTCCAAACTGCTTTTTCTAAACATCAAAGTAACAAAAGGGTAACCCAAGGTTACCCCAAACACATTCCTGCCCCCTTTAGATCTTATCTGTTGCCCTGCGTCTGCTGCAGGAGGCCACCTCCTGGGTGGCCCTAGGACCATCGCCACTCTTTTTCTACCCTGGGCTATTCCAAACAAGCTCAGGAAGCCTTAAACAAGAGGCAGATGGTGAGGAAGAGAAATTCTGTAGGTAACACCTCTCTATTACATAATGCTAAGCTCAAAACCTCCTAGAATCAGCCTTGAAAATACCTAATGGCCTGTTGCTTTAGAGTAAACATGAACTTGAAATAGGCAAAGAGAGGATTATAATTATTTCATTTGATGACCAGTGAACAACCATGTTAGTAAATAACATACCAACATATTAGTACATTACAGGTTGGGATAGGACCATATATTAGTAAATTACAGGTTGGTGCAGTAAGTTTACAGGTGGTAAATTACAGGTTCTTGATTCAATCAACACTCATGTAACATCCAATACCTACCAAGCACTGAGCTAGGTCCCGTAGGACACATTTTCTAACCTCACCTTAGACCAGATCACTACGGAAGTCACTAGTGGTGCTCACTCATATCCACTTCTCCCTTTTCAGCACAAGAAATATTGAATTGTGATTAAATAGGGTCATATGCCCAGTCCTGGCCAAAGTGATGGAACTCACCTCTGGGTGGGATCACATAATTGCTAGAGCAAGACCCTGCAGCATTTCCTTCCCAATGCTGCAGTGATCTTGCAAGCTCACATCAAGACCAAGACTCCTTCAGTTTGGGTCCTTGAGTGACTATGATGAGCCGGGTCCAACTGCCAACCACACTGGACACAGCACGGGAAGGAAAGAAACTGTATTTAGCCATGGGGACTTGGAGGGATTTGTTACTGCAGCATAACCTCACCTATCCTGCTGGTACATCCTGTTTAAAAAAGAGAAACACCTGCAAAAGCAAACCATCAATTTGTTTTCTAAATCAGATAATACAGAAAAGCAGCATTTGTTTCAAAATTCAACTTCATCAGGAACTGAGCACTCTCTTGAAAAGCAGAAGGCATGGACAGTATAGGCATGTTCAAACAACCTGAAGGAATTAGAAATGAAAACAGAATGACCATCAGCAATGAAAGAATCAAACCGTATGGAATTCAGCTTAACGGGCTACAATAAGAAGGCCACCTTCTGACAATAGGAACAGCCATTTATGAAGCAGTGAGCTCCTCAATGAAAAAGGCATTCAAGTGGAGGCTGGATGACCATATTTTCTCTCTTCAGAAGTCCCATCCCACCTCTCTTGAGCTTCCACTGAACTTAATTAGAATCAGGTCTCTATTTCTCCATCCTCCTATGGGAGTTCACTTTTGGGGCTCTCCCTACACCCACCCCCAACCCCTGGAGTCCATTATCTATCACAGAGTCCATTATCTATCACAGAGTCCATTATCTATCAGGTGCCAATAAACATCTGCTAAATGAATAAATGAGCACTGTAGAAAGGAAGCAGGCATTGGAGGCAAAGATCAGTCTAATAACCTCTAGGGAGCCTCCAGACTAAAGCTAAACACACTACTGCACACATCTGTGCATGGGAAGCCTCCTTCTTATAAAATAAAAAATAAACGTCAATGAACACCTTATTATGATTTATTACTGTACACAATTTAAAACCACAATGAAACCTAACACTGCATTGTGGCTATCTTTGTTCTTGGACGTGCATTTACATGTGCAGGCTGCTGTTTTGCCATGTGGAATTTTGTGTGTGAAGTGTTTATTCTTTCTATTTAAACGCATACACACACCCTTGTTTCTATTGCATTATTATATTCCCTATTATCTCATCACATGGTTTCTCTTCTTGCAGCAAGAGTACACACCCTGCATTATTGCTGACATAAAAATTACTTGTCAAAAATACCTCTATCTGAGCATCATATTACTCATCTGTTCTTTGCAAAGCACTGCCTTTGTTTCAACTGGGACTAGATAACTCAACTACTTTTCCTAGTGATTCCTGAATGCTTGTAGTAGGATAAAGGCTAGTGTCACCTGTGTCTTTAAAGTCACCTTCTAAAACAAAACTACCTTAGAGATGAATAATAAATCAAGTTTTTAACTTCATTTTTCAAGGGATTTGGAGGAAAATGGTGAAGAGCGAATCTGTCACAGATACCAAGGTGCTACTGCAGTGTAAAAGAGAGTATACCAGGAGCCTTTGGCCCTCAGCAATCTGTCCTCCTAGAAGAAAAATCGAAAGTCCATTTCCATAACCATTCTTACTCCCTGCTACTAGTGCAGGATGCGCAGGACTCTGCCCTCTAGGAGAAAATGCTAATGCCGGGGTGTCCTGCTAAGTCTGAAGGTTACATTTTTTCATTGCATTCTTATCAACATAACGCCAGATCTGGTTAGGTTGACATTAACACAGAACTATCCTTGGAAAGAAAAGACCGGGTCAGAGTTTTTGGAAAAGCCCCAATAACCTAAAGATAAAATGCAGAATGAGTCTACTGGTTTATGGCTATCTAAATGGAAACTTCACTCAAGCTGTTTTCTCTGTTCTCGTTCTGCTGCTCCCAACAGCCCTCCCTTCCACCTCCCAGTACTCACTGCTACCACATCTCTCTTAATATCGCAAACACTATTACAACGAAGGGACAGGAGAAAGACAGTATTTCCTAAGAAGGTCACTGCATTTGACCAGCGCTCAATTAGAGCACTAGGCAAAAGTATAATCAGTCTTACAATGATACCTTTTCAACAAAGGATACCCCACCTCTAGACTGAAGCCTAAATATGCTACTACAGATAAGAAAGAAGGCATCTATGGAAACCCCACATTCAGATACAACTGCCTGTGTATTAATTATTCCCATCAAAGGAAACCAGGTGCGATTTCTACAATCCCAAATTCACCCTGCCCTGCCTCCAATGGCTTCTTCAAAGGGAAGGCATAAAGTCATTTGCAATTTCTTTCTCGGAACCAGGAGTTTTAGCAGCCCCCACACCTTCTCACAGATAGGAACGATGTTGATGAAGAAACGACCCAGACAGCCTTGTACCAGCACTGTCGGCCCGAAAGACCCAGAGACACCCAGGCGGCTACCCAGATCCTGGGGGGGTTACCTGAATCTGTCACCGAGTCTCTTTCACCCCCTTCTGCGTGATGACATCAAGTGGAAATGGTATGCGTTTGGGAGGCAAGAGGCTGACAGGCAGGAAACACAATTGAGACTGAGCTTTCTTCAGCCTGCAGTGAAATACATGCAGCAAGGGTTAGATACGCGCCGAGGAGAAGGAAATCCAAGCGCCCTCTCGGGCCGGCGGGGCTGGAGCGGGTGCTCTAGGGAGGTGGAGCAAGGCGGCTGAGGTGTTGAGGACTGGCGGCCGAAAAGGGGGCGTCACGGCTCCTAATTGTGTCTATAGGATAAATAACCACCTCCCCCTCCTCCGCAGTCTCCCCAGCCCACGAGTTCCCCTCTGGTGGCAGAGCGTCTACACAGTAAGCCCCAGCGCGTGGAGAATAGCATCTTTGGGCAAAGACACACTGGCAAAATCTACTAGGTAACCCGGTCATATGGGAATGCGGGGCGCCTAGTCACCCGCGCAGACACACAGCGCGGCAATCGCGAGCATCTTTCTTTCGTTTGCCCTGTCCGCCACCTCATCAAGTCACTGTCACTGTTTTGGCGATGTCTCTACTCTCTCCAGACGCGGGCAGCGCTCCCCACGCCATGCCCCCACCCCCCGCTGGATTGGGGACCGCCGCTTCCCGAGCAGTGCCCCACGAGTCCAGCGGGCTTTGTCCTGCCGCTGTCCTTCCAGGAGCAAGCGCCGCAAGCGCGTGAGTCTCCACAAAAGACCCCCAATATCTGGCCCGTCACGGTGCCCTCTCCTCCCGGGAGGGGCCCGGGGGCAACTTCTAGGGGTGGAGAAGGCGTGAGACAAGGGGACTGGGAGGGGATGAGACGGGGTGTGTGCGGGCAGGGGCGCAGCTGGGGCAAGCGCGCACGCACGTGCACCCCCAGGGGCGCGCGCGGCGCGGGCACGAAGCGAGCTCCCTCGGACCGGAGCTCCAGGGGGCATCCGAGGACTCTGCCGAGCCGCCGGCAGCGCCGCTCCCCGCCGCGGCCGCCCGCCCAACTCCGCCAGCGCTCGGGAGACACGCAACTCTCGGGACCACCTCCCCCACGCCCCGCCGGACCCCGCGCTCCCCTCCCCGGGACCCTTGCGGCCCCGCCACCCCATCCGCTGTCCAGAAGATCCCCCCAGTAACAGCAGGCGGCAGCTGCCCTTTCCCGCTTCCCTGGCTCCGGCGCGGCCGCCGTAGGGGCGCAGACATCCCCGCGCGCCCCTCTGTCTGCCCCGGACCCCGAGCGGGCAAAGAAGAGAAACAAACCGAAACTCACCGACCTTTCTCCGCGGCGGGCTCTGGCGCTTCTCTACAGAGGCGGCGGCGGCGACAGCATCGCCGGGTGGTCCCGGCGCGCCCGCCCCGCTCAGCCAGACGCGCGCCCCTGGCCGGCGGCAGCAGCTCCTGCCGCCGCGAGACACCCGGCTGGCGCGAACGGCGCGGCGGCGGCGCCTGCAACCCCAGCTCCGGCCCCGCCCGGCTCTTCGTGCGGCGCCCCCACCTGCACAGCCGCCCTCCGCGTTCGCGGTCGGACACCGCCGCCAGGCGCTCGGCACCGAGCGGGAGCTTTTTGTGTCACTGAGACTCCGGCACCGAAGGGGGTGGGGGGAGAGGCTGGGCTCCGATCCCCGCGGCACCGCCCTCCCCGGCAGCTCCACCCCCTCCTCCCCGCCCCCAGCCCGGCGGGCCCGGGACTGCTGCCCGTCCGTCCCGCATCGCCCACCTCCCAGGGGTGAGGGGCTGCCCAACCTCCCTCGCATGCTCCCTCGGCTTTGCCCCGCGGGCCCACCCTCGACCAGGACCTCGACGCCGTCTCTCTACCGAGCGAAAGCAGCACCTGAGCTGGCGGCAGGTGTGCAAGGAGGCCGAGGCCGCTGGGAGAAGGCGCGAGGCCGAGGTGGGGGTCCGGGCCGCGGTGGGCGGGTGGGGGGTCCCCAGTCTGCGCCTCGGACCTGGACAGCGAGAGCGGGTAGCTGAGATTCTCAGGTTTCCAGAAGCTGCCCTGCATCCCCGTCACCGCAAGTACTTTTTGGCTGCCCCTAAAAGTTCACCTAGCCCAGCCAGGGTGGGGCCCCGCTTTCAAAGAGGCCCGAATAGACACTCCACTACCTGGGTCCCTCGAACGGGGGACAAGAAGCAGGGGAGTAAGGAGATGCAAGTCCTAGGGGTTATATGGAAGCGCGAACCCTCGGAAACCTCGGGGTTCACCCTATTCCACACCTTAAAAGGGACGTGCTTAGAATTTCTTGTTCCCAGTAGAAAATCTCCCGCCTCATGAGTTAACCGCAAAATAGGAGAATGAAGGAGAAAGGCCCTTGGTAGAAGATGGTTCCCTGCCCTTTGGCGCCTTTTGAAAGGATTTTCCTGCAGAATGAAAACCTAAAACTCTCTTCTAGAGCTCTGGTGGCCGTCAGCCTGCGGACGTTCCCGGGTCTCCCCCAGCAGGGCTCTGCTGAGTGTGATCCCCACGGGTTCCCACTGCACTTGGAAAGAACTCCCATTTTCACTCCCCAGAGTGGCTTATTGAAATGCTTCTGCCAAGATTTCTTTCTTTCTTTTTGGGGGAGGGTGAGGGGCGGGGACGGAGTCTCACCCAGGCTGGAGTGCCATGATGCGATCTCGGCTCAAGTGATTCTGGTGCCTCAGCCTCCCGAGTAGCTGGGATTACAGGCCCGCACCACACCCCCGGCTAATTTTCGTATTTTTTGGTAAAGATGGGGTTTCACCATGTTGGCTAGGCTGGTGTCCTACTCCTGACCTCAGGTGATCCTCCTGCTTCGGCCTCCCAAAGTGCTGGGATTACAGTCATGAGCCATCGCGCCCGGCCTGATTTTTCTTTTCTTTTTTCTTTTTTTTTTTTTTTTTAGAGAAAGCCCTGTGAACCAATGGGGACTCTAGGTAACCTACTATAAAAATCACAGTGTAACTAAGTGCACCTTGTCATGTTCCACAATTACATCCTGTTGATGGGGTTTCCAAAAGCACTGTCTTTAAGCACATACAGAAAATTGGTCATCTAGAAACAGATAAAGCTTATGAGTATCAGTTGTCTCTAGGATCCCAATTAAAACGCGCCTCCTACAGCCATCTGACTGATCCTTATCCCTTTGTTCCCCCAAGCTAAAACCTCTATTGTACACCTGAAAGGAATGAAAGCCATATGCGTGTTTTAGAAGCCTAAGGTAATCTTGAAGTAGAAGACTTCAAGAGTCTTTATGTTAAGCCTCAACTTTAGGGCAGGAAGGAGAGGTTTTTTTTTTTGTTTTTGTTTTTGTTTCCAAGACAGGGTCCTACTGTGTTGCCCAGGCTGGAATGTGGTGGCCGAAATCCTGGCTCACTACAAGTGTGATATCCTAGATTCAAGCATCCTCCTGCCTCAGCCTCCCAAGTAGCTGGGGGACTACAGGAATGCCAACATGCCCAGCCAAGTTTTGTACTTTTTTATTTTTCTGGATTGGAGTCTCTCTTTGTTGCTCAGGCGTGGTCTTGATCCTGGCCTCAGGCCGTCTTCCTGCCTCAGCCTCCCAAAGTGCTGAAATTGCAGGAGTGAGCCACCACGCCCAGCTCCAGCACTTTGGGAGGCTGAGGCAGGTGGATCACAAGGTCAGGAGTTCGAGACCAGCCTAGCCAAGATGGTGAAACTCTGTCTCTACTAAAAATACAAAAATTAGCCAGGCATGGTGGTAGGCACCTGTAATCTCAGCTACTCAGGAGGCTGAGGCAGGAGAATCGCTTGAATCCAGGAGGTAGAGGTTGCAGTGAGCCGAGATCGCACCACTGCACTCTAGTCTGGGTAACAGAGTAAGACTCCATCTCAAAAGAGAGACAGAGAGAGAAATGCTGATGTTGGCAAGGAGTTGGAATAAGGAAGGTGAGTTACAATATCCCAAGATTTTACTAGGAAAATTCAGCCTAGAAATGTTACGATTATGCAAAAGTGACTTTAAAGACTACTCTTCAGAAGCTAATTTGAGGGATCAGTAATTGTTCCAAAATTTTTCAACTCTTTTATTCAGCTGCTTTTGAAACAATTCTTGGGGGATTCAAGCATTCAGCATGGTGTGGAGTGACCACTCCCATTCTTAGTCTTTCGCTTCCACCGGCTGGGATTTTAATTCACAGAGCATCATGGGTGTTCTGCCTTCTGTCCAGTCTTGTAAAGCTGTCACACAGAGAAGGTTAATTAACTGGGGCAGACTGGGATAGGCCAGTTCTTAAGGCTGGTCGGAGGCCAGCATTGGGGCGGGCAGAAACAGTTTGAGTCAGAGGAGGAACAGGCAACAACATGTCCCAGCAGAGTCTTCAGTGAGAAATTCCAGGATCAAGGCCGCTGGGACCAGGCAGTGTTTAGAGCTTCGGGCCAGCAGGCAGCATGGTGAGAGAATCTGGCATTTCCCTGGAGACTGGGCACTGCCCATGTGTGGGAGACAGAGAATCAAGGCTGCATCCCAGGTCTTGAAAAACTAGGGCCATCAGGATGGGCCCCCAGCACTGGGGACCGAGATAAGATCCACACATTCATGAATTCATACAAAAAAATGAGTATGGACTGTGTACCAGGAACCTGGACCTGGAATTAGGATAGAGAAAACACCCCAAATTCCTGCCCTCACAGAACTTAACATTCTAATGGAGGAAGCAGATAATATCCCAACTGTCAACGAAAAGAGTCGAACTCTGTAAAATATTTGAAGAGATTTATACTGAGCCAATTATGAGTGACCATGGCCCATGACACAGCCCTCAGGAAGTCCTGAGAACATGTGCCCCAGGTGGTTGGGGTGCAGCTTGATTTTATGCATTTTAGGAAGGCATGAGACAGCAATCAAATACATTTAAGAAATATTGGTCCAGAAAGGCGGAACAACTCAAAGCAGAGGCTTCCAGGCTGTAGGTGAATTTAAACATTTTCTGGTTGACAATTGGCAGAGTTTGTGTAAAGACCTGGGATAGACAGAAAGGGAAAGTTCCAGTTAAGATAAAGATTGTGGAGACCAAAGTTCTTCTTAGAGCAGCTGCCCTTAGAGATGATAGGTGACAAATGTTTCCCATTCAGATCTTAGTTAATCTCTTTAGGATAGAAAGTGTCTGAAAGAAAAATATCTAGCTATGTTAATAGAGATTCTTTACGGATGCAAATTTTCCTCCACAAAGAACAGCTTTGCAGGGCCATTTCAAAATATGGCAAAGAAGACCAGGCATGGTGACTCACGCCTGTAATCCCAGCACTTTGGGAGGCTGAGACAGGCAGATCACCTGAAGTCGGGAGTTTGAGACCAGCTGACCAACATGGAGAAACCTTGTCTCTACTAAAAATACAAAATTAGCCAGGCATGGTGATGCACGCCTATAATCCCAGCTACTTGGGAGGCTGAGGCAGGAGAATTGCTTGAACCTGGGAGGCAGAAGTTGCAGTGAGCCGAGATTGCACCATTGCACTCCAGCCTGGGCAACAAGAGCAAAACTCCATCTCATACCAAAAAAAAAAAAAAAAAAAAAAAAAAAAAACAAAGAAACATGTTTTGGTGTGGAATATTTTGATTTTCTTCCTTGTCTCAAAATGTTATGGCAGAGCCAGGTTGGAAAGTAAATCATGATATATAGAGTTAAATCCAAACCCATCTGGGCCAGGCACAGTGGCTCACACCTGTAATCCCAGCACTTTGGGAGGCTGAGGTGGGTGGATCACGAGGTAAGGAGTTCATGACCAGCCTGGCCAAGATGGTGAAACCCCATCTCTACTAAAAATACAAAAATTAGTCAGGCGTGGTGGCAGGTACCTGTAATCCCAGGTACTCGGGATGCTGAGGCAGAGAATTGCTTGAACCTAGGAGGCAGAGGTTGCATTGAGCTGAGATCATGCCATTGCACTCCAGCCTGGGT